TGTGAAGTTGGCATGAGATAGGTCAGAGTTTAATTTGTCGTTCATAGGGTTGCTGCAAGTCATTCTCAATGCGACAGCACCTAACAACAGCAGCAATTCTTGGGTAGCTATGTAGTTTTTCTTTTTCGTCATTACAGAAAGCACACAGAATTTTGTAAGACTATAATAATTTTCTCAGGGCAATAATTTCAAGGGATCACATAGTTGCTTTGACTCCAGAAAACAGATTCCATGAGAATTTTAAATTCTACTCTGCACTTCCTTCTTTTGATGAAGATTCTACTGTTGTTATGCTGTAGGCAACTATGGACCCTATGAATAGCCTTACCTGTTCTCAACAGGATGGATTGATACAGTGATTGCTGCAGTGGGCTCAAGTGTGTCAGGGATGATAAGGATGGTGCTAGATAGACCAGGCTTCATATCTGTTGTTCATAATGTTGCTTTGAGTCAACTCAGTGACACCTATCAACAATATCCTGCACCATCCTCAGGATCTCTAAGATACTGAGACCCATTGTTATCATCTCTTGTCAGTCTGTCTCATTGGGACATTTCTCAATTTTCAGTGACCCTCTTCAGACTCATGTAGTAAATAAAAAGACATAGTATTAGATGTATTAGGAAAGTAAGAAAGCATTACTATTTAAACTATATGTATAAATTAATAATAACTCAAGGCTTGAATTTGTTATTTAATTCTTTCAGCTTGAGAAATACTAAGCATATTCTTTCCTTTTGGTTTTCTAACTCCAGGTCTTTTGTACATTTTGTTATAATACTTAACACTGTTTTCTTGAGGTGTCCTTTAAAATCTATCTAGCCTTATTAATAATTTTTTCCTGTGGTTTTGTCTCCTCCTTGGAAGAGCAAGAGATGTCTCTTGTGACATCAATCTTTGTCTTTTCTTTATGGCTGATGTATGATTTTTTATGTCATCCTACAGCTTGTCTGATCTTTGGTCATTAGTGTTCAGTGCATCACATCTATTCCTGAGATGGCTTTTTAATTCAAGTGGGATAAACTTGCATCATATTTTGTCTTTCTTGGAATTGTTTCATTTTCTTCAAGTTCTATTTAATAGGTGCCAGTCTGACTTCACTAACTTTTGCTGTCTGAAATTGATTGAACATACAATCAAAATGCATTGATAATTTTGACTGAATTAGAATGAATTATTCATGGTTTGTGCACCTTCAGCTCCTAGCCTTGTTTTGACTTCTGATAATTGTGTTTCCTATGTCTCTTATCATGTTGTTGCTGTTGTTAGGTGCCATCAAGTCAACTACGACTCACAGTGGCTCTTTAAGCAACAGACCTGTACATTGTCCCATCCCACACTATCCTCACAATCTCTGCTTTGCTCAGGTCCATTGTTAGAATCACTATGTCATTCCATCACATTCTGTCTTCCCTGACCCTCTGCCTTTCCCAGCATGATGTCTTTTCCTAAGGACTGATCCCTCGTGATAACATGGCCAAAGTATACGAGACAGTGGTCACTATCCTTGCCTCTCAGGAGCACGCTGCTTGCACTTCCTCCAGGACAGACTTGTTAGTTCTTTTGGCAGTCTGTGATATATTCAGCACTCTTCTCTACACCACAATTTAAAAGAATTGATTTGGTTTTCCTTATTCTTTGATGAATTTTCACATGTATGTGAAGCAATTGAAGATACTATCTTAATTCCTGTGTAGTCCACCAGGTCAGGTCTATGTGTACAGTAACTGAGGAGTTTGTGGTTTGTGGTTGTTTTTTAAAGGTATTTTCAATAAATAAACAATTGATTGTACAAAATTCTGTCATGTGACCTCCAGTCTCATTTCTTTCTCCAAGTCTGTGTTCCCCAATTACCATTCCTTCATTTCCAATTTTTGCATTCCAGTCAAAATTATTATCAGTATATTTTGACTGCATGTTCAGTCAATTTCAGACTGCAGAAGTTAGTAGAAAACCTCAATTTCTTGATCTTTGGCTTCAAGTGGTTGTTGTATATATATGTTTGAATAATATCGTCATTAACAGTTTTTCCTTGTTTGCATATGGTTGTTATCCTATCAATGATAGTGCTGTACTTCAGGAAAGATATGGAAATGTACCTTTTGACTATGAATGCAGCACCACTCCTCTTCAGTTTCATTCCTGGCATAGTAAATAAGTCCATTTCAAACTGGCCAATACCAATTCATCTTAGCTTGCTAATGCCTAGGATGTCAATCTTTATGTATTCCATTTCAGTTTTTCCAACCTATAATTTTCCCAGATCCATCTTTCATATGTCCTATGTTCTGATTATTAGTGGATATTTGCTGCTATTTCTCCTCATTTTGAATCTTGCCACATCAGCCAATGAAGGTCCATCATTGGATCAAAGATCTATTCCATCCATGTTACTAAGGTAAACTCTCCTTTGGGAAGGTAGCCCTTCCTCAGTTGAAGTTTTAATATCTTCCAGCCTGAGGGACTTGTCTTTCAGCACTATACCAACCAGTGGTCCAGTGCTATTGATAGGGTTTTCAAGGGCCTTTTATTTCAGAAGGAGATGGCCTGTCTAGCTTCTTTGTCTTAGTTTGGAAGCTCTTCTGAAACCCGTCTACCATGGATGACCCTGTCATTTTGAAATTACTGGTGTCATAGCTTCTAGCATCACTGCAATGTGTAAGCCACTTTGGTGTGACAAACAAACAGACCTGCAATGGTCTGCTTGTAGAATCTTTAATAAAAACATTCAGTACTGATATTCAAGCACCGTCCAATTGCAAAGGAAACAGTCTTTCATGGGAGGTAATTAGCTGTGCATTCCATGTCCTCCTCCTGTTCCTAGCTCTTCTTCCTCTGTTGTTTCAAGTGAATATAAACCATTACTATGCCTTAGATGGTCACTTGCAAGCTTTTAATATCCCAAGCATTTGTTGTTAGGTGACATGGAGTCCACAGTGACTCATAATGACCTTATGAACAAAAGATCAGAACCTTGCCTTACCTTGACCTTATTATATAACAAATAAAAGTAAAAGGAAATATAGAAATCTTAACATGATCAACCCAACACTCTAATAGTTGATTTTCTCACACTAAATAAGAACTTTTCTCCAGCTAACATTCTGTTTTGTATTTAAGGTTTTTATGTCTAACCAAAATTTGTTTCTCCATTGCCAATAGATGCTTTTCTGACATTAGAGAAAAGGAAAATATAATTATAAAACAAAATTTTAAATAATTTTATTAATTTTGGGAATTATTTAAAAAATCTTTATTCTTTTCTTCCAAACCAGAAAACACTGTTCCCTGCATATAAAGTACGAGATAACTTGGTTAGAAACAAGTGGCTGGTGTTTAAAACTGAGGATTGTCATAATTATTTAACCTAAGTCCTGTCTTGATAACCTCACTCTGGGTAAGTACTTTTAATAAAGGCTCATTCATGCAGTTATTAAGGTTTTTATACTTGAGAAATAAAAATATTGATTGGTAAAGAAACACTAATACAAAAAATGTTAAATACGAAAACTGTTCATTGCAATCATGTTAAGGCTTATGAATATTTTTTTGTTAATTTTTATTGTATTATTTTTACATGTACCGTCAAATCAGATCTGACTGGTACAGGAGGAGATTGCCCCCTCCTTCTCCAGCAGAGCATCTGGTGGATTTGAACGGCAAGGCTTATGAATATTATGAATCTTACTTTACTATTTGGAGGTTAATAATAGTTCAGGAATTTTAATACATTATGGCACAAGGCAGTTTGCTAACCAATATTGACTTCTTTTTGAAATTTTTATTTATAAGTTGATTGCAGTTGGAATGCTCAAAAGCATTTTTAATTCAAAATGTGCATAGTTCCTGTACTAATGTGATTGTCAACTCTACCTTATTGATGTCAACTATATTGTTTCTATGGGAAAACCAATTCTACATTTAAATCCCTGACAGCCACTCAGGAACACTTCAGTTTGTTATTTAAAGATGCAAGGGTCTAAGAACCAGAATAACTGCCGTTTAAATCCATATGACAGGAGAAACCTGGAATAGTTTCTCTTAAGTGAATCAAAAACTCTTTTCTCAAGCCTCACTTACTGGACTTATATTGTTAAGCCATGAGGCTAGATACTATGTATGTTCTTAAATTGTGCTAAAGTATACTTAACAGCAGGGAAATGTCATGGGAGCTATTTTAAGTGTACAAGTAAGTGGTATTAATTATATTCACAGTGTTGTACAGGCATCACTATTATTTCCATAAGTTTTTCATCATTCAAATGGAAACTTCCCAATTCCCTCTCCTGTAAGTCCCTGGTAACTACTGACGAACTTTGTTTTCGCTACATTTACCTATTCTAGATGCTGCAAATAATTGGGATCATACAGTATTTGTCCTTTTTTGTCTGACTTATGCCACTTAGCTTAATTTTTCAAAAGTCATTTATATTGTAGCATATATCTGAACTTTTTTTCTCTTCATAGCTTTATTTTTTAATTCTGTAGTATGACTATACCACATTTTGTTTATCTGGTCATCAGTTGAAGGATACTTGAGTTGTATCCACCTTTTCACTATTAAGAATAATGTGATGAACACTGATGTACAAATATCTGTTAGAGTTATTGCTTTTAATTTTTGGGGTATATATCTAGGAATATAATTTGTAGACCACATAAATATTTTACATTTAACTTTTTGAGAAACTGCCAAATGGGGTTTTTTAGTGGTTTTACATTTTAAATGTAAACTTGGGTACAACAATGAATGAATGAAAATGAAACTTTTCTGTAAAGTTTTGTTAAAAATCCCAATGAAAACAAAACAAAACTTGGTTTCGTAGGGAAAAGTAGTTACATAATTATCTTAAAATATTTAATAATTTGTTTGTTGTATTATTTATCTTAACAGACTTTAGTTTCATAATAAAAATTTAATAATATGTTAAATAAGCATATCTATGTGAAACAATATATTTAGTAATCTTCTTTTACAGGTTCTACCAAATCTATAACCATGAAAATTTTGCTGGTTTTTGATTTTGACAATACAGTTATAGATGACAATACTGACACCTCCATTGTAAAGTGTGCACCCGAGAAAAAGCTTCCTGTTCAGCTGGAAAATTCTTACCAAAAAGGATTTTGGACAGAATTTATGGGCAGAGTCTTTAAATATCTGGGAGAAAAAGGCATAAGAGAAGAAGAGATGAAAAGAGCAGTGACATCAATACCTTTTACTCCAGGAATGGTGGAGCTTTTAAGCTTTATAAGAAAGCATAAGGATAAATTTGATTGTATCATTATTTCAGATTCAAACTCCATCTTCATAGATTGGGTTTTACAGGGGGCCAATTTCCGTGATGTGTTTGATAAAATATTTACAAATCCAGCAGCTTTTGATAGCAATGGACATCTCACTGTACAATGTCATCACACTCATTCTTGTTCAAAGTGCCCAAACAATCTTTGCAAAAAAGCCGTTTTGGTACAATTTCTAGATAATCAGCTACAACAGGGAGTAAAGTATGCACGGATTGTTTATATAGGTGATGGTAGAAATGATTTCTGTCCAATAACCTTTTTAAAGAAGAGTGATTTTGCCATGCCACGAGACGGGTATTCCTTGCAGAAGATTCTCTCCACACCACCTCAGAATTGTGATCCTGTGCAGTCGGCTGTAGTAGTTTGGTCTTCAGGTCTTGAGATAATTTCTCACTTACAATTTCTAATAAAAGAGTAATCTCCCAGCCATTAAAATGTCTATCCGTTAACATTAGGCTCAGCTACATATAACTAAAACCCAAAATGCCGGTCACTTTTCAAAAAGTTGTTTTTCTCTCACTTTTTAAAAAGTTAAATGTCCAGAGTTAAGTATCTCAAGGCTGGTGTATTGCTCTACTAACCTCGACACTTGGTTTCCAACTCTGATACAGGATTACTGTTCAGACTCCAGTCTACTCATCAATATTCTGACCAGCAAAAAAGAGGGATGGACAGTGGCAAGAAGCTTATACCCTCTCCCTGTAAGGAAATTTGCCAGAAGTTGCACCCAACATTTCAACTTAATTTCCTTGGCTAAAATTTAATCTCAATTCCCCACCTAATGGGAAAAAAAAAAAAAGGATAATACAACTTTTATACTTTTATTCTAGTTGTTTATTTTCCTAGGTAAAAACTCAAAAAATGAGTACAAGATTGTATGTACAACTAGCCATCTCTTCCAAATGTGGTGGCAAGGTGGTGGTTGTCCGGTGCTATCAAGTTGGCTCTGACACTGTGTGTGCAGCAGGAAAACACTGCTCGCTATCCAATGATGCTATCCTCACAATTGATGCTTGCCTTGAACCCACGGTTGTAGCAGATAGGTTAATTAGAGGTTGAAGCTTATTTCTAGAAAGGATAGTTGTAGATTTTTGCTTCTAAGGTATCTATTTAAAAAGTCTATCTGGTAGAGAATAGATCTTAAATATAAGCTTATACTTTCCGAGAAAAAAAATTATAAGCTTATACTGATTTATTTAAGAGAGTAAAAATTTTATATTCACAAAGTTTAACACCAAATCCAGTCACATTGCTGTTTAGATGGTTTCTTGCTCATTGCTACAGTTTAGTGCAGCAGCTCTACTCACAGTGTCTGAGGCAGAAATCTTAGTGCAAGCGGACTGCCACACCTTTCCCCCAGTGGTAGGTTTAAACCTCACACTTTTCAGTTCACTTAATGCTTTAATCAATGCACCATCAAATCTCCTTTACAAATCCTCTTCCCAACCACTGCTATTGAGTCAATTCTAACTCTGGGTGACCCTCCATTGGCTTCCAAGGCTATATAATTCCTAACAGGAAACAACAGACACCTTTATCTTTAGCCCTTGGAGTGACTGGTGGGTTCCAGTTGCCAACTATTGGTGGGCAGCCCAACATTTAACCTACCAGCCTCCCTTGCGAATCAGATAGCGTCTTTAAAAAAAAAAAGAAAAATAATTTCCTGTGATTTTATTGTGTTCCCTCCCACCCCCAGCTGATCACTGTGGAGCAAAGGACTAATATGAACTTCAAGGATTGAGCATTCTTGTTGCTGACTTAAAAACTGAAAGCGCCGAGTAGTAATGAAAGTGAGAGGCCTCTAGGAGGCAAGAGCAGCCAAGAGAGAGGAGAGGTTGGGGCGGGGTGGGGGGGGGCTGGAGTGGAGAGGACTGAGTCCTACAACTAACTGCAAGGAAATAAATTTGGAAGAGGACCTAGAACCTCAGAACTGCAGCTTAGATGGATTGATTTCTGCCTGTTGAGACCTTGAGCAAAGAACCCAGGCACACCATACCTGGACTTCTGAGAGATAAGAAGTGTGTATTGTTCTAAACTAATTGCTGCTGAGTGAGATCAATTCAGCTGACCCACTAACAGGTTAACAGACTAAATGGCATGAGAGGAGATTGTCCATCTTTCTTCCCACAGAAGCCCCTCCTCCCACCCAGTGAGAAGTGGATTCAAAGCAGTAGAGGGACACAGCTTTTGAGCTATCAGTGCAACTTCCTTCAGATTATACCTCTAAAATGCTGTGTTTGTAGTAATTTGTTAACTAGCAATATAAAACTAATAGATTATATAATTATAGATTGCATATAGATAACATATCAGATATAATCTATAGATAATATCTAATAATCTATAATAGGTAATGTTTAGGTGTCATTGAGTTGACAACAACCCAGTGGATTTTATCTTGTCCCATCCTCACCATCCCTGACATGCTCAATCAAGCCCACTGTTAATAGTCACGGGGCCAGTCCATCTTGAGTATTCTCACTTCTTTGACCCTCCATTTTTCCCAACATGATCCCTTTCCCCCAAGGACCGATCTCTTCTAATAACATGACCAAAGTATGTGAGACAATTTCACCATCCTTGTCTCTAAGGAGCAACCTGGTTGCCCTTCCTCCAAATAAGACTTCTGGTAGTTCATGGAATATTCAGTACCCTTTGTCAACACTATAATGTAAAGCCATTGATTCTTCTAAAAGATCATGGCTTGCTTACATCAGGTGTACCTTATTCTTTCAACTGACATCCTTGCTCTTTAGCACCTTGCATAGGTCCTTGACACAGACTTCCCCAGTGTAATATGTCTTTTGATTGCTTGACTGCTGTTACCATGTGTGTTGATTGTGGATTCAAGTTGCCTAATTTTCTTCCTACTCCATTTCACATATACACCTTTTTTTTCTCCTCACACATGTTGTAGGGTTTTGAAAGTTTCTTCATGTTTAATCTGTTGTGCACAAGGGTCATTGTAAGAATCTGCTTGACAGCAGCCAAAAATAACAAGGTATTTGACAATCTCAAGGAATCTATGGTGTTGTCATGATTAAAGCATTTGACAGCCAACCAAAAATGGCAGTCAAATGCCAGCTTGGTGCAAAATTAAGGCAGTTTCCAGTTTTGGAAACTATGGAGCAGTTGTACTCTATCTTGTAGGCTCACTATGAAGTGAAATCTAAGAAAGGGGACTGGCATTTTTATAAGCTGTGAAGTGCTAATCTTTGTTCTGACTAGATACCAAACATCATCATCATGTATCAAGAGATGTTAATGCAGATGATAATTTTAAGGGTCACTGATTTTTCTGCTATTCTCTTTTTACATATTTAAAAGGAAAAAACCCAAGTACCCCTCAATGATGGAACATATTCCACAACCATCTAATATTTAATGGGTTAGAGCTGAGCTGTCAAGACTGCATAATTTGCAGTGCCCATTACAACATAAAAGTTTAACACCCCTTGTTAAAAATCTAAGTATTTCAAGATAGGAAAATGGGCCCTTGTGTGTCTGTGGAACCACACACTCAGAGGCCATCTTGTGCTTGCACCTTCTCCAGCATCTTGGTTGCTGATAAAGATTTTGGCAAAGTCTATTGTCTATACGACCCACTGCTTCTGCCTGAGTGATATTTGCAAATTAACTTCCCATGTGTCATTGCCCAGAGCAACTAGATTTTCTTACGTGTATGCACATGTGTACTCTTTGACACAGGTAGATTATTTTTTCTCAATTGAAATGATAGCATATGCATTTCCCTCTCAATACATAATCTTTTGTTGAGGGTTTTTTTTTTTCCACCCTTTGGGTTGGTTGTGGGGTTTATATACCTCTTTTAAAAATTTTTATACTGGTTTACTTCAGTAAAAAATCTTTAAGAATAAAATGGGGGGGCACATTTACTGCGAGAATAAAGGCCATTCTCAGCAACCAGACTCTGGACATCCCAGAGAATGCCGACATTACTCTGAAGGGTCGCGTTACCATGAAAGGCTGGCAGGGAGAGGAGGGACTTCAATCACATCACTGTAGAGCTCAATCTCCAGGGAAAGAAAAAGAAGCATCATCATGTTAACGAATGGTGGGGAAACGGGAAGGAACTGGCTACCTTTCGCACCATCTGTAGCCATGGACAGAACACTGAGCTTTTGTTACAAGATGAGGTCTGTGTATGCTCATTTCTCCATCAACATTGTGATCCAGGATCTCTGATTTTTGAAACTTCTTAGGTGAAAAATACATGTGGAGGAGTCAAATGAGTTCAGGTGTTACTTGTTCAGTTTTGCAAGCCCAGAAAGATGAGTTAATTCTTGAAGGAAATGACACTGAGTTTGTTATTAAATTCAGCTGCTTTGATTCAGCAAGCTACAGCAGTTAAAAACAAGGATATCAGAAAAATTTTGGATTATACCTCTGTCTCAAAAAAAAAAAAAGGAACTGTTAGCAGGCTGGAGAGTAATATCTAGAAGTCTTCCACCTATAGAAATAAGGCCAGGTAAGTCCTAAAATGCATCTGATTCTTGCAATAAAATTATATTCATTTGGGGAAAAAAGAATTGGGAATTGACATTTTTCTTGCCCTTTAAATAGATTGAAGAGTTAAAAACAATTTAGAAACAATTAGAAGGGGAAATAACAATTGAGACCAGATAAAGGGCTCCCTGTAAGGAGCAGCCAAGGGGTAAAGCCAAGTACGACTAGACGCAGTTAGGTAAATCTCCAAATTATTGAGGAGTAGTGATGTCAGTTTGAGGACTAAGGTGAATCTGATTCAGGCCATGGTCTTTCCATTTACTAGCTACACATCCAAGACCTGGAAAATGAGTAAGGATGACAGAAAAAGTATTGATGCCTTTGAGTGGTGGTGTTGGAGAAGAGCACTGAATACCCCATGGACGGCCAAGAGAACAGATATGTCTTGGAGAGGGTGCAGCCGGCTCTTTGGAGGCAAAAATGATGAGACTTGGCCTCACACACTTTGGATATTTTACTAGGAGGTGCTATTCCTTGAAGAGGGACATGATGTTGGAAAGGGTTGAGGGTCACCAAAGGAAAGGAAGACCCTCAGCCAGGTTGATTGACATGGTGACTGTTGCAATGGGCTCCTGTGTGTCAGGAAGTGTGAGGATGGTGCAGCACAGAATAGGGTTCAGATCTTTTGTTCCTAGGGTCATATGACCCTATGACCCTATGACCCTTTTTGTTCATATGAGTCATTCTCAATGGCACCTAACAACACCACTACCAAGATGCAGATTTAAAAGCAGTTTTTATTCAAAACTGACAAACATCTTGATTCATTACACACAGTATTAGGCATGAAATAGTTATATTAGGAAAGAGAGCAAGTATTATGATATACACTGTATAAATTAGTTTTCTCCTCGAAAGACCTTACAAAATGGGTGTATTACAGTTTTTCCA